ATAGGTTGAACTGAAAGTGATTTTTGCACACTTCTTTTTACTAAAAATATAACAATTATGCAAAGAATTTGGGTTCTACAAACAAAAAAGGAAAAATTGGTTAAAATGATTAGAAATTAAATTTTAATTGATGATTGAGAAAAATTGAAAATGGACAATTTATACCAAAGATTAGTGACATTAATTAGATATTGACAACATGCTATAAAAACTAGTCATTTTTTGAAATTTGAAATGAGCATTTTGAGTTTTGACCCATAGATGACAAGTTTATATTTTATTTTATTTTATTTTATTTTAATTATTACTAAGAAGAAGGGATAGTTTTGAAACTATTACCATAATTTAAGGGAGGGCTAAAACTTAACACACTCCACTAAGATATTAGACCACATGTAAATTTATACTCATAGATGACAACTAATAATGTGGTTCAAATTCACCTGTGGCAAGAATTGAACATAAGAACTCTCACTTGCAAGTGGAAAAGAATACCATAAAACTATAGTACTAAGTGCATAGATAACATTTAAAAACTTATTATTCTCATAGTATAAATATCATTTAAATTTATTCATTGCTTAAATATCATTTTACCTAAGTTATACTAACCAATTTATTTTAGTAGATGGCAAAGTTGATTCAAATTCATTTTTTAAATGTAAATATTATCGTATGCGGAAAATACAACTAAAATTTAATAGACAATGCCAAATTATAATTTAAAGAGAAATGAAGAAAAAGTGCTCTCACCTTGCTGATGAGTAAACAAAACCCCAAAAGGCGCAGAAGATGATCGTGATATGATACGATAGGATAGCTCGGAGGCTGTGTTCCCGTTTTCCCCTCCTTTCTTGTATTTGCAAAAACCCTAATCCCCATTTTTCTCTCTCCTCCTCCTCCTTCACCTTGCAAAACATGTCTGATTTTGCATCTTCTGTAATCGCTTCAACAACTCCGATTTTCTTTTCTGGGTTTTCTCCAAATTTTCAAGGTTGGTTTCCTTCGCTTCAATTTTTCAAAATTTTACGATTAATTAATCAATCATATGTATGTTTGTGTTTATGTCGTTGGAGTTATGATATGCAATCTACGTGCTTGATAAAATGCCCCACATAATGGAAGATTGGTCTTTCAATAGGCTTTCTTGTTTGTCTGTCGGCGCATTTTTCAACTCGAGGTTACTGGTTTCATTGACATGTATGTCATTGTGAAAAACCTCGAGCCTACGGAATGAGGTTCAATTCTACTGTCGAGAACAACAAAACGATGTCGAGAAATATGCATGAGCAATATTCCTAACTTCCTTGTGTCTTGTTTTGTGACGTTTTTAGATTTGAGTATGATTATGTGCCTTTCTTGATTGAGTAAGAATTGTTTTAGAAATTTAACTATCATGAGATAAAATGATGAGTTTGTAGTCGCAGTTCAAGCCAAGTATCTGATGTTGCTCTGTAAATTTATATACATATTACATAATATGATGCATTTTATATATAATAGGTTTCGTTGCAAGTTCAGATTTGCAGAAAAAGGTGTATAAATAAATGTGCATTTTCCCTATGACTTATTGTACTTGTGCTACCTCTATGATTGTATCAAACTGTTGTAGCTTCACGATCATATGCTCATATTGGTCATAAACCTTATGATCTCTTGGGAAATTGAAAACCTGGTGACAAGGAATTTAGGGAAACCTGGAAGAAAGAGATTGATGAAGATGATACTTTATGGACAGGGAGTGAAGACAAAAATGACAATGAAAAGGATGAAAAAAATCGTCTCGAAAAAGAGATTCGAAAAGTAAGACAGCAGGCGAGGGAGCACTCTAACCTGATTGATGCCGATAATAGTGATGAGTTGAGAAGTGTTTGGTCTGGAAGTGATGAGGAGAAATCTCTGTGGATTGGGAGTGAAGATGATGATGACGATGATATTCTTACTGAAGCCTACCCAAATGAAAGTAGAGATAAACATATAGACAAACTGTTTGAGTTTGAAGAAACATCAAAGCATGGGACAATTTCTGAATTATTGAAAGCTGAGCAAGAACCGGATGAGTTGTCCCCTGAAAAACAAGCTAGGAAAATTGTAGTTGAGAATGCCTTGAAAAGGTTGAAGAAAGGGCCAAACGGATGTTATATTAACGTGTGGGAGGTCATGAGTGACATGGATATTCTGATAGGAGCATTTGCAGATATATTTTCAAGGCTGAAATATGCAGAGCTTAGACAGAGAGGGCCTAAGAAACTGAATATGCAGTTTTTCAAGGATATACAAACGCGTATAAGAGATCCAAATTATAAGTTCTCACCTAAGTTAAAGTTGAAACCAAAGAGCAAACTAGTTGCTAGAAGGAAATGGCAGAAAGTACAATCTAGACGGAGGAAAGCACAAAACCGGTAAGTGTATCTTTCTCGTTCTTCCTCTTTACTGTTTCAATATGTCGAACTTGCAAACTATAACATGTTATATTGTATAAATGATGGTATTATGGTGTGTGTTTCTCAGTACTATATATGTTCTACTTCTCTTACGGGTTCTTGTCCAGTTGTACCGCTAAGATTTACTCTAAAATACAAGTTATGTCTGGATCATTGTCATCACTATTTCGTTTTGTCATTGAAACCTTTAGCCTGTGGAATGAGGATTCATTCTATTTTCGAAAACAAGGAAACAACCACGAGAAAGTGCATAAGCGATATTCCGAACTTCCACTGTGTCATGTTCTGTGATGTTTTTATATTGAGTATGATGTTGTGCCTTTCTTGATTGAATTTGAATTGTTTTAGAATTGAACTACAACAACAACAACAACCAAGCCTTATCCTATTAGGTGGGATCAGCTGTATGAATCGTATAACGCCACTGCATTCTGTGTGAATTTTATGGCCCATATAAAATGACGAGTTTATAGTCGCAGTTCGAGCTATGTATGTGATGTTGCTCTGTAAACTTAGATACATGTTACATAATATTATGCATTCTACATAAAATAGGTTTCCTTGCAAATTCAAATTTGTAGGAAAAAAAGGTATATAGATAGAGCTTTGTAACACATACATTCCCTTTGACTTTTGTACTTGTGCTACCTGTATGACTGTATTGTACTATTGCAGCTTCAAGATCATATGCTCGTGGTGGTCATAAACCTTATGATCTATTTGGAAATGAAAAACCTAGTGGTAAGGAATTTAGGGAAGCCTGGAAGAAAGAGATTGATGAAGATGATACTTTATAGACAGTGAGTGAAGACGAAATTGACAATGAAAATGATGAAAAGAGTCGTCTTGAAAGAAAAAAAAGATTTGAAAAGTAAGACAGTAGACGAGGGAGCACTTTGACCTGATTGATGCCAATAGTGATGAGTTGGGAAATGTTTGGTCTGAAAACGACGAGGAGAAGTCTTTATGGACTGAGATTGAAGATGATGACGACGACAATATTCCTACTGAAGCCTACCCAAATGAAAGTAGTGATAAACATATAGACAAACTGTTTGAGTTTGAAGAAACATCCAAGTATCAGACAATTTCTGAATTATTGAAAGCTGAGCAGGAACCGGATGAGTTGTCCCCTGGAAAGCAAGCTAGGAAAATTGCACTTGAGAATGCCTTGAAAAAGTTGAAGAAAAGGTCAAATGGGCGATATATTAACGTGTGAGAGGTCATGAGTGACTTGGATATTCTGATAGGAGCATTTGAAAATATAGTTTCAAGGCCGGAATATGCAAAGCTTAGACAGGGAAGGCTTAAGAAACTGTGCATTTTTTCAAGGACATACAAACGCGTATGAGAGATCCAAATTATAAGTTCTCACCTGAGTTGAAGTTAAAACCAAAAGCAAACTAGTTGCTAGAAAGAAATGGGAGAAGGTACAATCTAGACGGAGGAAAGCACAAAAGCGCTAAGTGTATCCTCCTCATTCTTCCTCTTTATTGTTTCAATCTGCCAAACTTGCAAACTATAACATGTTATATTGTAAAAATGCTGGTATTATGGTGTGCGTTTCTCAGTTCTATATATGTTCTACTTCCCTTTCGAGTTCTCCTCCAGTTGCACTTCTAATGAGATCAAACACATGTTTGCAATCCCATACTATTCTTTGTCAAGTTTGCAGTGCCATAAAGATAAAGTGATGTTAGGCTTGCTTCCAAATAGAGGAAGGAAAATTTTAGCAATACCACTTAAATTTTGTTTTGTGACATTTCCCACCTAAACTAAACTTGTTTGCATAAATACCACCTATCGTCAAAACCGCTAAGATTTACTCTAAAATACGAGTTATGTCTGAATCATTGTCATCACTATTTCGTGTCAAATTATCACCTGAACTTTTTTTTTTTGTTTCATAGCCACTTGAAATGGTTTTTTTTTTTTTTTTTTTTCTCTTTCCAAATTACCCTGTCAAGTCCTCATTCACTCAAGGCATTGAAAAGATAAAATTAAGTTAATTCATTCCTTAGAGCACAATTACTTGATTGGAAGTCAGTGTTACTATTATTTAAGGAGCAAATCGTTCACTTTCTAGTGCCTAATATTGGCACACTCATATTTAGACAAATTCCTTATCCTATTTTTACATCAAATTAAGACCATCTCGAACATTTGGGCTAAAACTTGAAATGTTTAGCCCAAAAAATTTAGGTTTTAGCCCAGAAATAGATTTTCTACTCCAACTTTTTTGGCCTAAATTTTTTAGCCTGAGATTATTACAGAATAAATTTAGGCTATTTTTTTTCTTTTAAAGTAATTTTAAAAAAAATTTTGTACAATATCATAATTTAATTTTATGAATATTTTAACCTAAAAATATTAAATTTCGATAAATATTGAAAAATCACTAAATTTGGGTGAATTTTGAGTTAAATGATTTTTTTTAATTATTTTAGCCGTTGGATTTAAATTTGGACCGTTAGATTTAATTATATTCAACCTCAACAGTTGGATTTAATAAATCCTAAAAACATGCCCACGTGTGGATGAGTTCCGCTCCGGATAAGCAGTGTTACATAGTCTCATAGATTACTCGGTAGGTTTGTTCGAGGTGGCAAGTGAATTGTGAGCATGAATTGGTCGCTGGTGTTTCGTCGCTTCTGGTGCTTCGGTGCCGCAACTTCATCTCCATCTTCTTGTTCTTCTACGTTATGCTTCGCTTCCAACAAGAAGCCCCTCGTCTTCTTAGGCTCTCCTCAGGTGCTGCCCTCTCTCTCTATCTCTCTCTCTCTCTCTCTCAATATATATATATTTATACATTTGTGGTTATGAGGTGATGAAATGTCTACTGGTTTTAAAGGTGACAGCAATTGTTCTGGATGTCCTCCTCAATGCATCCGCTGCCGCAGACTCACTCCTTGAGGTATTCAATGGATGCCCTTCTCCATGCTTTCAACTTTACCTCAAATGGGTTTTCTTTTCTGGCTTCTTCTTATTTATTTTTAATTTTTTTTCAATTTTTAATTTTGGGCTTTCTTCACTTTATGATGCCATTAGAATTCCACAATTTGATTGTTTTTGAGCTTGGTTTATTGGGTTACATAATTTAGTGATGTGACATGTCTTTTAAGCACATTATGTCCAAGAAGCGTTCGTGCCGGATTGAATTGTGAATGGGGTTAATTTCTGGAGTTGTGGAATTTAGACAGTCGGTAGACTTATCATTTAGCTGGTTGTGTTGTGTTTCGGTCATTGCTTTCTCTTGTGTTCCGGCATCATAAGGCATCTTAAAGGTTCAATTGGATTAGTTTATGCCAAACTTGTCGAACCTAGGCTTATTGCATATGAGCTTACTAATATTTCATATCGGTTTTATGTCAAACTTGTTTTCGTATTTACTCTTTTTTTTTCGGGAAGATAGTAGGGACTGACGTAGGCCAGGAAAAATGGTGATGCATACTTTCGCTATTGATATAGTGTAACAATACAGAGTAATTGCTTGGATTATGAATGAATAATTTGCTCTGATTTAGATTGCAGCTATTGTTACTCAGCCCCCATCCAGAAAGTCTAGGGGGAAAAAGTTGATGCCTTCTCCTTTAGCACAGCATGCTCTTGACAGAGGCTTCCCTTCAAACCTTATTTTCACACCTGAACGGGCTGGAGAGGTAATTTTCTATCATCTTTTTGTAGGAAATGATTTCTCTATTTATTCCCTACGAGTAATCCATGTAGTGACTAGAGATGTTCTTATGAGCACCATGGAGTTATCTGTAGAAATCTCCGATATTGGGTGCTGCACCTTCTGTGCAGCTGCATTTTAGGTTTTCTTATGCCGAAGGTCATGCCCATTAGAAATAACCCAATAGTGCTTCTTATTGCTTTATATGATTAAAATGGGTTTCCATATATTCCCAGTGTTCATTCGATTATTGTCTCTCAAAGATTTTGATAGTGTTAGGAGTGAATTTAGATGAAGAGGGTTCATTTTTATTAATGTTCGTGCAGGATGTGTTTTTGTCCGACTTAAGAGCTTTGCAGCCACAACTTTGCATCATTGCTGCTTTAGGGAACATTTTACCTACCAAGTTTCTCAATATCCCAACATTGGGTTAGTCGAATGAATTTCCCTGACAAAAGTGAATTCTTGTTCTCTGCTGCATATTAATTTTCCATGCACTTTTCTGCATTTGACTTTGGAATCAGATGGGTATAATCTCAGCACGGTTACTTGGAATGGGGAATTGTTGCCATTTGTCCTCATTCCAACGTTTATTTAGAATAGAAAGAATTAAGAAGAAGCGAAAAACATCTTAACAGAAACCAACCTTATTCTCATTGCAATCCAGACGATTGATGAGAGTTGGTCATTCCGATTCCTTCAATTTGGGTAATCCTCTCAATGCTTCAAATATGAGACGCCCTGTTCAGCTAGTAGTCATGTACCAAGGGTAAATCAGTGATATGGAGGCATGAGACTAGTAATTGAACTCGAAATGTTTCTTGGCTCTTAGAGCTTGCCTTTTAAGGGATATTGCACACTTATTAGATTATTCAGTATCTGTACCTGGGATATTTAAGTTAACTTTTGAGGGGGAGGAAGGTTGGCAGATGAACTTTGTTCCTAATAATTTGGTTAGCAGATCAAGATTTTTTTTCTGCATTTATTTTAAACCTTTTCGAGACAATTGGTGGTCTGAAGATCATAATAGATGGTTAATGATTATTTACTGCAGTGTATGCTAATAATTTGGTTAGCAGTTCAAGCCAAGTATCTGATGTTGATCTGTAAACTAATATACATATTACATAATATGATGCATTCTATATAAAATAGGTTTCCTTGCAAGTTCAGATTTGCAGAAAAAGGTGTATAAATAGACGTGTATTTTCCCTCTGACTTTTGTACTTGTGTTACCTGTATGACTGTTTCGAACTGTTACAGTTTCACGATCATATGCTCGTGGTGATCATAAACCTTATGATCTCTTTGGAAATGGAAAACCTGGTGACAAGGAATTTAGGGAAGCCTGGAAGAAAGAGATTGATGAAGATGATACTTTATGGACAGGGAGTGAAGACGAAAGTGACAATGAAAAGGATGAAAAGAGTCGTCTTGAAAAAGAGATTCGTAAAGTAAGACAGCAGGCGAGGGAGCACTCTGACCTGATTGATGCCGATGATAGTGATGAGTTGAGAAGTGTTTGGTCTGGAAGCGACGAGGAGAAGTCTCTGTGGACTGGGAGTGAAGATGATGATGATGACGATATTCCTACTGAAGCCTACCCAAATGAAAGTAGTGATAAACATATAGACAAACTATTTGAGTTTGAAGAAACGTCAAAGTATCGGACAATTTCTGAATTATTGAAAGCTGAGCAGGAACCAGAGGAGTTGTCCCCTGGAAAGCAAGCTAGGAAAATTGCAGTTGAGAATGCCTTGAAAAAGTTGAAGAAAGGGCCAGACGGGCGTTATATTAACGTGTGGGAGGTCATGAGTGACTTGGATATTTTGGTAGGAGCATTTGAAAATATAGTATCAGGGCCAGAATATGCAGAGCTTAGACAGGGAGGGCCTAAGAAACTGAATATGCAGTTTTTCAAGGATATACAAATGCGTATGAGAGATCCTAATTATAAGTTCTCACCTGAGTTGAAGTTGAAACCAAAGAGCAAACTAGTTGCTAGAAAGAAATGGCAGAAAGTACAATCTAGACGGAGGAAAGCACAAAAGCGCTAACTGTATCCTCATCGTTCTTCCTCTTTACTGTTTGAATCTGTCGAACTTGCAAACTATAACATGTTATATTGTATAAATGCTGGTATTATGGTGTGTGTTTCTCAGTACCATATATGTTCTACTTCTCTTACGGGTTCTCGTCCAGTTGTACTTCTAATGTGATCACGCACATGTTTGCAATCCCATAGTTTTCTATGTTAAGATTGCAGTGCCATAAAGATAGAGTGATGTTAGGCTTGCTTCAAAAAAGAGGAAGGAAAATTTTAGTAATACTAGTTGAATTTTACGGTTATACTTGACCACTTAAATTTTGTTGTGACATTTGCCACCTAAACTAAACTTGTTTGCATAAATACCACCTACCATCAAAACTGTTAAGATTTACTCTAAAATATGAGTTATGTTTGAATCATTGTCATCACTATTTCGTGTCAAATTATCACCTGAACTTTTTTTTGTTTCATGTAGCCACTTGAAATGTGTCTTTTTTTTTTTTTTTTTTTTTTTTTTTTTTTTTGTTTGCCAAATTACCCTCTAAATCTAGTTGAATTGTCAAGTTCTCATTCACTAGAGGCATTGAAAAGATAAAATTAAGTTAATTCATTCATTGGAGCACAATTACTTGATTGGAAGTCAGTGTTACTTTTCTTTAAGGAGCAAATCATTCACTTTCTAGTGCCTAATAGTGGCACACTTGTATTTAGACAAATCCCTCAACCTATTTCTACATCAAATTAAGTAAATAACATAAGAGTTACCAAAACTCTCCTTAAATCAGAGATCTAAATTTTAACTTAAATAAAATAGAGTTTTAAGATAACACAAATGTATTATGCGTTAAATATCGCTATTATGTGACCTAATTCAATCTATTTCCTGTAGATGGTCTCTTATAAGTAAAATAACGTTTGATAAAAAAAGAGAACATTAAAATGTAGCTTGATAAGACTCGAATTCTCTCCCTCCCATCTCCCTCCTTATAATAGAGACCATTCAAACCAGGTCCAATGGGTAAGAGCTATGCAACGTCCTACAACCCCAATTACATTCCCCTCTACTTCTCTCCCCCCGTCGTCTCCAACATTTGCCTCCATCACTAATGCCATGGCTGCAATCAATCCAGCCAGTGTCGAAATAGCTTATTGTCCTCTTTCTCAAGCCTCGAGGCCTACATCCGATCCATAGCTCACATACCGTCCCGCCTCGGTCGCCAGGCCAATTCCGTCTCCGACGACGAAATGAGCGCCGTCCGAGCTCGCTTCGGCTCCCACATGCAGAAGAGGTTCCACTGGCTCCACCTCATCGTATTGGGCCTCGGCAGCACGGTGGTTGATGGCGCCTTTGTTGACTATCTTATTTCAGCGCCTCATTTGTTTCTTACGTGGCACAATCTTGTGTTTTGATCGACTTGTAGATGTTGTGGACGGCTGTGGATGAAGGGAGGGCACAGGAGGGGTGAGAAAGAGGAGGGGAGAGAATCGGGCCCGAGATTGAGGGCACAAAAGAAAATAAGCCGAAGTAGAATTGCAAGAAGCGGATAAGCAGTAGTAGATATAGTCCCAAAGCGTTCTCAGTTGGTAGGTTTGTACGAGGAGGCAAGTGAAATTGTGAGCATGAATTCGTCGCTGGTGTTTCGTCGCTTCTGGTGCTTCAGTGCCGCAACTTCTTCTTCATCTTCTTCTTCTTCTACTTTATGCTTCGCTTCCAACAAGAAGCCCCTCGTCTTCTTAGGCTCTCCTCAGGTGCTGCCTTCTCTCTCTCTCTCTCTCTCTCTCTCTCTCTCTCTCTCTATACACACACACACACACACACACACATTTGTGTTTATGAGGTGATGAAATGTCTACTGGTTTTGAAGGTGTCAGCAACTGTTCTGGATGCCCTTCTCAATGCATCCACAGCCGCAGACTCAATCTTTGAGGTATTCAATGGATGCCCTTCTCCATGCTATCAACTTTACCTCAAATGGGTTTTCTTTTCTGGCTTCTTCTTCTTTATTTTTTATTTTTTTTCAATTTTTAATTTTGGGTTTTCTTCACTTTATGATGCCATTAGAATTCCACAATTTGATTGTTTTTAAGCTTGGTTTATTGGGTTACATAATTTAGTGTTGTGACATGTCTTTTAAGCACATTATGTCGCGTTCGTGCCGGATTGAATTGTGAATGGGGGTTAATTTCTGGTGTTGTGGAATTTAGGCAGTCAGTAGACTTATCATTTAGCTGGTTGTGTTGTGTTTCGGTCATTGCCTTCTCTTGTGTTGCGGCATCATAAGGCATCTTAAAGGTTCAATTGGATTAGTTTATGCCAAACTTGTTGAACCTAGGCTTGTTGCATATGAGCTTACTAATATTTCATATCGGTTTTATGTCAAACTTGTTTTCATATTTACTCTTTTTTTTTTTTTTCGGGAAGATAGTAGGGACTGACATAGGCCAGGAAAAATGGTGATGCATACTTTCGCTATTGATATAGTGTAACAATACAGAGTAATTGCTTGGATTATGAATGAATAATTTGCTCTCATTTAGGTTGCAGCTATTGTTACTCAGCCCCCATCCAGAAAGTCTAGGGGGAAAAAGTTGATGCCTTCTCCTTTAGCACAGCATGCTCTTGACAGAGGCTTCCCTTCAAACCTTATTTTCACACCTGAACGGGCTGGAGAGGTAATTCTATCATCTTTTTGTAGGAAATGATTTCTCTATTTATTCCTTACGAGTAATCCATGTAGTGACTAGAGATGTGCTTATGAGCACCATGGAGTTATCCTTAGAAATCTCCGATATTGGGTGCTACACCTTCTTTAGAGCTGCATTTTAGGTTTTCTTATGCCGAAGGTCATGTGCATTAGAAACAACCCAATACTGCTTCTTATTGCTCTATATGATTAAAATAGGTTTCCATATATTCTTAGTGTTCATTAGATTATTGTCTTTCAAAGATTTTGATAGTGTTAGGAGTGAATTTAGACGAAGAGGGTTCATTTTTATTAATGTTCGTGCAGGATGTGTTTTTGTCCGACTTAAGAGCTTTGCAGCCACAACTTTGCATAACTGCTGCTTATGGGAACATTTTACCTACCAAGTTTCTCAATATCCCAACATTGGGTTAGTCGAATGAATTTCCCTGACAAAAGTGAATTCTTGTTCTCTGCTGCATATTAATTTTCCATGCACTTTTCTGCATTTGACTTTGGAATCAGATGGGTATAATCTCAGCACGGTTACTTGGAATGGGGAATTGTTGCCATTTGTCCCCATTCCAACGTTTATTTAGAATAGAAAGAATTAAGGAGAAATGAAAAACATCTTAACAGAAACCAACCTTATTCTCATTGCAATCCAGACGATTGATGAGAGTTGGTCATTCCGATTCCTTCAATTTGGGTAATCCTCTCAATGCTTCAAATATGAGACGCCCTGTCCAGCTAGTAGTCATGTACCAAGGGTAAATCAGTGATATGGAGGCATGAGACTAGTAATTGAACTCGAAATGTTTCTTGGCTCTTAGAGCTTGCCTTTTAAGGGATATTGCACACTTATTAGATTATTCAGTATCTGTACCTGGGAAATTTAAGTTAACCTTTGAGGGGGAGGAAGGTTGGCAGATGAACTTTGTTCCTAATAATTTGGTTAGCAGATCAAGATTTTTTTTTTCTGCATTCATTTTAAACCTTTTCGAGGCAATTGGTGGTCTGAAGATCATAATAGATGGTTCATGATTATTTACTGCAGTGTATGCTTTAATTCCACCATGCTTGTTTTTACTTTGATACGGCATCTTTTATTCACAATGTGAACTGGCGAGTTGCATATCTTTAGTGAGCATAAATGAATTTCTAAAGTTGAGATTGCTATGTTCAAACCTAATCAGCTGGTAGCATTATTTCTCAATCCAAAGTGACAATTTTCTCAGGTACGGTCAATATACACCCAAGTTTGCTTCCATTGTATCGTGGAGCTGCACCTGTTCAAAGAGCCTTGCAGGTTTTTAGGCTTTGATGTTCCCTATCTCTTAGGCTATAAGTTTTTGCATGTGTTATATAGTCACATTTATTATATCTGAATAAGAAGTTCTGCATTTTCTTGTTTGAATTAGGATGGTGTTAATGAAACAGGAGTATCCTTAGCGTTCACTGTTCGTGCACTGGATGCCGGGCCTGTCATTGCCTGTGAAAGAATGGAAATTGATGATCAAATTAAGGTATGAATGATGCTTATCTAGTGAAGTTATGGATGCAAAAGTTTTAGGATCCATCTCATCTGTATTATTTTTGGGTCAAAGTCGGTAATCATTTGTCAGGACCGATGAAGTAGTAAGTTAGCAATTAACATGCCTTAGGTACAACATCTTCTCCTATCAAAGAAATAAAAAATGTACCAGATTTTTAATACACAATGGTTTATGTACACGTTCTATATATCTATGTACCCACAAGTAAACTACATTCCTCGTAAAAAAGAAGGGCAAAAAAAGTTGATCTTCATGCGTAACAATGTTGATGTTTTGATGTTCATCTGAGCTGTGTTATTTCTGGGTTCGAGTCAGTAACGATTTGTCTGGATCAAGTAGTATCTGACATCCTTGAGGTGCAAGATCCATGGGATGGGATGGTTTGTATGTACATGTGTATCTTGGGGCCTACAAGTTAATAGCACTTCCCCACCAAATAGGGAGGAAAAAGGTTAAGCTTAGTGAGTGCAATATGAGTGGATGCACACCCATGCACACGCATAGTTGCAAACTTCAAAAGTAACGGTGAGAGTACATTGGAAACTTTTCTTTGGGTTAGGGAGATTTTTTGCGGCCATAAATTGAGTGTATATTTTGGGGAAATATGAAACTTTTAGGTGTATTAAAGCCTAGTTCAAGACTACTTTCTTCTTCCCTATTGAGCCTAGTTTCAGGGTTGCTGCCACTTTCAAAGCAATTTTTTTTTTTTTTTTTAATAATGTTTATTCTAGTTCTCATGCAGGCACCGGATCTACTTGCACTACTATTTAATGAAGGTGTGCTTTGTTCCTTTTACTCCCCCTTTTTTCTGATATGTTCTATAGTTTTAATTTCAGTTTTGCTAATTATAGTTTATAACTTACTTATACTTTAGCTTAATACTGCAGTCTAATCTATTGATGCTTAGAATTCAGTGGCAGAATATAAATTACTAAGCTATCCCGCCGAGAATCTTATTTGACATTATGCATTATACATTTCCTTAAGTCTTCCTGAAACATGGTGTTTAGTCCTTGGCATATATTGTTTTCTCATGTGTCATTATCCTGTACATATTCCGTGAGCAGTCACCTGTGCGAATTGGTTTGAGTCGGATCTACGCCATTGCAGCCATATTTACCAATTTAGTGCAGCTTTGGTTCAACTACACTTCACTGATGTAACCTACTGTTTTACTGTGCAGGATCTAAACTATTGATCAATGAGCTTCCTTCTATATTTGATGGGTCAGCTAAGGTGAAAGCATGTCCCCAGGATGACTCTAAAGCTACCTTAGCTCCCAAGGTAAACCTTGCAGTTGAAGTGACTTCTATGCTACGACACAATGGGGACCAGATATGTTTTCTAGGGTTGCCTTTGATTTTAATTTTGAGTTCATTTGTGTTTTGCATAGATTGCTCCGGAAGAATCGTGGCTGTCCTTTGATCAGGAGGCTTCAGTTCTACATAATAAGGTATGCTCTCTTCTTTTGCCTCATAATGGATTACGGAGTCATGACTCACAACCCCTACAGGTTCGTGCATTTGCAGGGTGGCCTGGAACTCGAGCTAAAGTTGTAATTATTGACAACAAAACTGGTCAAGAGAATATCATGGAATTCAAAATTATGACAACTAAAGTCTGCAGCCAGAGAAATGTTCAGGTCAACCAAGCGGATGAAATCACCTTTATAAAGCCTGCATTAGTATTTCCCTGTGGACGGGGCACAGCCCTTGAGGTACGTTCTATCTCTGTCAGCTTCTGTTATTGTCTAGTCTTGCTGCTACTGCTAGCTTAGCAGTTATAACGCAGAGCTCATGCCTTTTCATTTCCTATCATTATTCCTCTGTGAGCTATAAATTTGTTGTCTTTTATTTCTGCAAGTCATTGGCCAAAATTGTGATCAAACAACTTCTATCCCAATACCCCCTTTAAGTCCTCCCCCCTCAACATTCAAGTATGTGATCAACCATCCAACTGACCGTATTGTTATGCTCCTCATATTTACTTACCAAATCTAAATTTTTTTCAAAGCTACACACACTTTGTCCCTCTCTTTCTTTCTAACAAATTAAATGCTGACGCGCACTAACACCTCATTTGGCGAGGCTAATTTAATTTTACTGTCTTCAATCTAAATACATATTGGAAAAGGTATGTTTAGGATGATACATTTGGTCCGTCAATTCTCCAACTGAATGTATGCGTTTGACAATGTATTTAGGTATTGGAGGTTCAGATTCCGGGTAAGAAGGCAATAAGTGCAGCTGCCTTCTGGAATGGTTTGCGTGGTCAAAAACTGAAGATATACCATGCTTCCAATGTAAACGGTAATTCTAGTTAGTTTAAAGGGGTGAGCAATTTTGTTGAGTAGCATCCCCCATTCTTTTAATTAATTTTATTGGAAATACATGTAATATTTATTGGAAATCTTCCTGTATTGATCTCTTAGGGTACAAAGATACCAATATGATTTAGTGAAATCAAAATATGGACAAGTAGAACATTATTTCCATTGGTTCGTATCAAAATGTTGGTAATTTTCTTTCTATCAAATGATAAACATAACGGGAATTGATACAATCGTGTATGTTGTTTCTGTTTGATTCATTCAATTCAACAGCTACAAGAAAGAGAAGTCTGTGAGAAGCTAAGAAAGGTGTGAAAATAACCTCCAAAAGATAATACTAATAGAAAACAACACTATCAATTACATTTGGTCGCATAATTCAAGTGCCATACTCGTTGCCGGCCGCCCAACCGATGGCAGAAACCCAAACGCCATCATTTGTCACTGACATGCAGCACCGAGTTTTCTGCCACTGCGAGGGCGTCGGCTGCAGTTGCTGGGCTGGGTCTTGAGTGGAGCAGTGAATGGTGGAGCTGTTTCCTTCCCTTCCCTGCACAGCTCCTCCTTTTCTCCTCCTGTAATTTTGGATAGATTATTCCATAATCCATTAGAAGCCATTATTCCGGGTTCTTTTTCTAAATAAATAATAAATTTAATGCAAAGCCACAGTCAATGTTTTGATACCGCTCCATACTGAATAATTCAGGTGCAAGTACTTTCGAAAAATTCCGATTGAAGTCCTTTGCATGAATTGAGATAATTGAAGCAATGATCCTTCAATTTTAGATCAATTGGAACTTTGGTTCCTGAACTAAAATTTTATGAATATAGGTCCCCTCAACTTGTAATAATGTGGAGCAATGATCCTTTTAGCTATCTCTATTCAACTTCCACCCTTTTTTTTTTTTTTTTTTTTTTTTTCTGCCCCTTTAAACCCTTTATTTTGGATGGAAGTTCTTATAGAGTTAGCCAAAAGGATTATTGCTCTACATTATAACAAGTTCAGGAACCAGCACTCACGGTTAGTTCAGAGACAAAAGCTCTAATTGAGCCAAAATTTAGAGACCATTGCTCCAACTTTCTCGCATAAGTTTTGTCAATGTTACGATATTTAAAAGTGTTGGAAAATATAAGGCCTAACTGTGAGAGACCTTCTCTATGCTTGTGAGAGTATTTCCCATGGTTGTGTGGGTGTTTTTGATCCTGATCAAATCTAGTGGTGTCGACTCTAGCTTCGGCTGGGGTTGGTGGCCGATCTCCCCTTTCTTTCTTTGTGTCCTCATTGCCCCTTTTATGCTGCTCTCCATCTCAATTTGTTCTCCTCTTCTTACCTCATTGGCATCTCTCCTCCTCGTTCATCTAAGACGTGATCTTTAGTCATACTTTCCGTGGGGATTGTGCATAGAGTTCTAGTGCTTCAACCAACTCCGGTGTTCTCAACACCACCACCTTCTCTTTATTGCCTATCGTTTCTGGCAGTGTTGCTCATGGTTTTCCTTAGGCTTCTTTTTCTTAAGAGTCGTCTCATTTCATCGTTGTTGGTCATCTTTACTTTGTGGTTGTGGTCAGGGAACTATTTGGGGTTGGATGATGAGTTTGGCAAGGCGATGGTCAGTTGTGGGCGTGGATTTGTGCAGGTCAAGATGCACTGTTCCGACAGAGGTAGTAGCAGCAGATTTCTCGATTTTGTCCTTTTTTTTGTGCCCCCGGGGGGGGGGGGGGGGGGGGGGGGGGGGCGGCTTTAGCTATTTGGTTGAGCTCTTGTGGGTTTGTTAGGTTGGCCTCTTTTTTGCTTGTTTATGTTTATCTGTTTTTGGGCCTTTAGTTTGTTATCTTTGCAGTTATAAATGAATTTTCCTTGACAAGAAAAAAGTGTTGGAAAATATTTATACTTGGGTTAATTTTATCGTTTGGGTTTTGGGCCTGACCTATTAGAATTAGGTTTTCCTTGTCTTACTTATTAGGGGTTGGAGTAGTTTATTATAAATATGATGCTTTGATATTTAGTTGAGAACAAGTTAGTCAAGATGTAGTATTCAGTTTGTAGCCGTCTTAACATTCTTTATTTATTTGTTTTCCATCAATAATATTCGTAGTTTCATAAATGACATGTTCTTCCGTTTGGTATTATGTTTTTCAACTAAAAGTACTTAATGAATTTCTTGCTAAACTCGGTGATATATTTGATAGAGTTCGAAGTGGTCTCCTTCGAACAAAGCCACTTCTGGTGTGGAATAATGCTTTAACAACGTTCGTCATGACTCAGGAGAGAAGAATACACAATTGAATTGACCCAAATTACTCGATTAGTTTTTATCTTCTTCTAGTCAACTTGACTAAACTCATATCTACATTCAAAAGCATTGTTGACCTCTCATAAAATTTTAGAAAAACTAATGAAAAAAGCTTGAAAACTTTGAGTTTTAATGATAAGGACAAAATAAAGGGTAAAATGAATAGTACCAAGATTGATCTTTTAGTGTAAAAATGTGATTTTTCGTTAAAATGAACAGTATCGTGAGCTTTTCGTTAAAACTCTCAATTATGCTTTTGGCATTTCATTTCACTCTATGTTATACAATTTGACTTTATATTCGCTAGATACTGCTTTTTCCTGCTCATCTCCTTAGGTTAGGCTCGTCAAATCTAAAATGAAGCTCTCTTAGGGTTTGAGAGCGTTTCGAAACTAACGAACGAATAATTGGTTCATTAGTATTTTTATTCATAATATTGAAAGATATTTAAAGTTCGGATCCTTCTCACCTGATCAGAAAAGAAAAAAGAGTTTTTTATTTTAGAATACAGTAAGTACTTTGAGTCTAACAAAGTGTTACATGAGTTATAAAAAGGAATGTGCTATCCACACATCCTATTTTACTTCTCATACATCCCTTGATAATTTCTGTTCATTGATCTTTTTCAATTCATCCTATCTGACTGCCGAAAATTCAAAAGGTGTGTGAGAAATAAAATGGGGTGTGTGGATATCCTCTATAAAAATTAGTACTCCCTCAATATATAACTACTAACTAGTCTATCAAGAAGCGGCTCCACGCGCACTTCCAAAGTGATCCATTCGGTTTTATTAAAAATGTTGATGTTCATATCTAACAAAAAGTGCTTTCGGCCAAAGCACTTTTAAGCAGAAATGTTTCATACATAACACCCGAACAAAGTAGTATATAGATACCAACTCTCACCTTATCAATCATCTCTCTCTCTCTCTCTCTCTCTCCAATTAAGGAGAAGCAATTAAAATGGGTGCTCTTGATTATCTTTCAAACTTTTGCACAGTCACCAGCACAAGAAGCAAGCGTAAAGCAATGCAGGTACTACTCAGTCAGTACTCATCATTGATAATTATCTTCATCACCAACCAATTAGCCCCTGATCACTACTTTTTAGAGGCTTAATTAGACTACTTAATCTGCGTTTATTGTGGGTTAATTATAAGCTAGTTTTTTTGTTTGGATTAACTCTTAACTAAAAGTATTTAATTAAGATGGCTTTCTCTTGTTTTTGATTTATCTCAGACAGTTGAGATCAAAGTCAAAATGGACTGTGATGGCTGTGAAAGAAGAGTCAAGCATGCTGTTACCTCTATGAAAGGTATTCCTCTCTCTCTCTCTCCTCTCTCTCTCTCTCTCTCTCTCTCTCAAGCTTTGGTTCTACAGTTGCAGTTGCAGTTCTCTGGCATATTCAGAAAACCAACCACAAGAACTGGATACAACAACATTTTAAAGAAAAAACCAACCATCTTTTAGGTTTAACTTTCTAAAAGCATCTCGTACGATACTCTAACTTCAAACCCTAAAATGTGATTTTAAATGATATAACTTCATAATAATATTCCAACTCTACAAGTTTTCTACTCTAACCATACTCTATATTTGAAACTTCATTACATCGGTTCTTATATATAAATCGATGGCTGATAGCCTCTAAAATAATGGTGAAACTGAGCACGTTAATTAACTAATTAACTGAAAGAAATTAATAGTAAGAGAAAACAAGAAAACACACAGCAGGTTGGTCTCTTGCATAACAGCATAGTTCCTTCTTTTCATAAAGACTTGGATTTTAAAGGAAGGTGGAGAAGTGCTATGTTTTTATTGACTTACGTACCACTCTTAGAATATGTAAACCAACATATTAAAAAAAACTTTTTCTTTTATTATTCACGGAAGTATATATTGTATATTTGTTTAGTCATGACTAATACATGATCAATGAGTAACTGTTTTTTGCTGTGTATACCGGTGTCTAAATTAGGTGTAAAATCTGTGGAGGTGAACCGGAAACAAAGCCGGGTGATAGTGAGCGGGTATGTAGAACCGAACAAGGTGTTGAAGCGAGTAAAAAGCACAGGCAAGAAGAGAGCTGAGTTTTGGCCCTACATTGATCAACATCTAGTACGCTATCCCTACGCCTCTGGAGTATACGACTGGCGGGCACCAAAAGGCTATGTCCGGAATGTGGTTCAAGCTTTTCCGGCGTCTATAAATGCACCTGAGGAGAACATGGTCACCCTCTTCAGTGATGATAATGTCAATGCTTGTTCCGTAATGTAGCGGTAACAGTTATTTCCTGCATGAAAGCTGAAGTCTTTCTTTTTAATTAGGCAACGTACTGCTTGATGGTTGGAGAATCCCTGTTCCTTAAGGGAGGTGTGTAATTGAGATAAGTTAGTTCATTAATTATGCACTATGCTTTGATTTGATTTGAGTTAGTTCATTAATCATGCACTCGCTTCAACATCTTATGGGACCGGCTACCTATAACAACCAATAAACACGCAGATCTGAATTTAATCAAGTTAACTAAAATAATGTGAATTCACCTTTACACTCAAGTTTGAAACTCCATCATTGAAATATTTAGTCAGCCATCATGATGTCAAAATAATCAAAACACATTTGCCTTATGTACGTAGGGCACGGACAAGATGGTTAAAAAAAAATGATGATGAATGGTTTTAAAAATTGATGGTGTACGTAAATATACTTAAAATCATATGCACTTTCGCATGGCTTATGCTACATAACATGTGCCAAAGAACGCTAGTTTGATTTGATGGCACTCTCGTTCTCGTACTCTATGGTCTAAGAAAATTGTATCACTGGCTGTTCGATTTTAATTTAACAGTAGATGGTCATTAATTTTTGTTGTTGTATTTTTTCTCTGCCTTTGATCCGAACAGTGGATGACTATAATTTTCTTAAATCATAGAATCTACGAGAATGAGACTCAGTGTAATGGTTCAAAGTAATATGATAGGACAATGAACAATGAGATAGTATGATAGGACAATGAACAATGAGATAGTATGATAGGACAATGAACAATGAGATAATTGAAGTAATTAACCCTACTTGTTTGGAATTAGTTATGTGAAACATGTTAGAGTGACAAAAACGTATGACGAGGCAAAGTCAAAAGCATAAAAATCCACGTGCTCAAATCATATGCCCCTTGAAACATAGAAGATTATAAACCAGGTAAAGAAAGTAGCATGAAAGAAACTAGCTAGGTGGTATGTGTCAAGAAAGTTAAAACATTTTGTCTCTAATGATTGTTTCATCTCATGCTATATTTCTTTATAGTGAAACTATATACACATATAACAACTTAATACTACAATTTAGTGGTATTCCTCTTTATTTGTAAGTGACAGGTCTTAGATTTGATTCTCGCGAAAACGAATTTGAACCACATTATTATTAGTCCATTGTGAGGCTTAACCCATTTCACCACTCTTAAGAAGACAAATTAACTTGACATTTATATATATATCCTCTCAGGGGATTTGAACTTGAAAAATCTACTAAGAACAGAGACATATCACTAGATAAAAAATGAGTTAACTTATCTATCCATCTTCTTTCAACAATAGTAAGTCACCTACTTGTCTCAAATTTTGATAACTTTCTAATAATGTTACAATGATGTCTTCAATTATATACAGACGCACACAGGAACAATACAAAGCAATATGTTAAAATAAACAAAATTCTTCGTGACATATCGAATAAGATGCTTTAATCAAGGGGTGTGGTATCCACATACCTTTTTAATTTTCGGCCGTCGGATCAGATGAATTAAAAAAAATCAACGGACAGAAATTATCAAGCGGTGTGTGAGAAGTAAAATAGGATGTGTGAATAGCACACCCCTTAATAAAAGGATAATACTATGAAGATTAAATTTTTAAATAAAATTTGCAAACCAAATGATGTTGTTGTTAATAATTAAATTATTACTTAAACATTGATTAACGTGTTTATTTTTTATTAACAATAAATCATCTTATTTGCAAATTTCGTAAAAAATTTTGGTATCCTTTAATCAAAACAACAAAAAGTGTTTGCTTGGCTTAATAATTAATGCGCCTCACAGTGTCCATTTTCCAACGACATATCCCTAAGTTTAGGCTTTTACACGAATGGAGTGACATCATTGTTGTTATACTATGGTAGGGTGGTTATTATAATCATTTTATAGCTATAAAATTTTGGATATTAATTTCCGTGATCCTCTTTTGAGAATGACTTATATGGTATCGATTCACTGCTGTTGTGGTATTCTGGTCTAAAAATGTTATGTCATATGTAAGTTTTTCTCCCCATAACATAATATTATTGAGCTAGGCCACATGACAACAAATTTAAAGAGTTCGATTTCTAAACTCTCATATATATCTTATTGTGCAGGTGATATGGGTGCAAGTTAGGACGCAATATTATTATAGTTATGAGTTGGCCACTAGCCCATCGGTCTAAAATCTTGACATGCGTGGAAGTAATGTTAGGGAGACTAAATTTAGAAATATGTGTAGAAGAAACATGCGTGGGGGTCAAACAGATATATATATCATGAGAGTAATGCTAGGAAAACTAAATTTAAAGACTAAAATTGCAAACTAAATGATGTGCCACCAATAGAAATGAGCAAATCCATCAACACTTAACTAATAAATCAATCATCAATTTCTATATTTTTTAGTTTGGAAAATTTAGCCTTCAAATTGAGTTTCCCTAGCATTACTCATATCATGGTGTTTGGCTTATCTTTGTTGCACACCGCGCGCCGCTAAGTATGATTAAAATAATAGACAATGGAGACAGCATTCCAATATGTTTTATTCAAATGCAAAGGAGAATGATTATAAGAGCACCACCATTTGTTTACAATAAACCTTTTCACTATTTTAAACGAAGATTAGAACAAAAGAACTGAAGCTTCTGTTAGCGGAATCGAGACGTTTTCCAGATTTCTGTGTCGGACGTCGATGGATTTAAAGATTCGAATTGTTTAAAAGAAAAAGATCTGAATCTTTGATCTTACGATAGTAAACCAATGAAATTTGCCAATAAAGGCCGAAGAAATTTAAACGAGTGATCAGTGATTTGAATCCGTTGGCTTTGAACAAAGTGTTCCATAAAGCATTACTGTTAGGGAGGGGAGTCAATGTCATGATCCTGCTTTACCAATCAAACTGGCATTATAATAAGCACCACTAAGTAGTAATCATGTCCTTGGGATCCTAAACCTAACTAATAAGTTTACATATTTGACTTTCTCTTTTGCCCACTTTTCTCCTTCTTCTTGTTTTCTTTTCTGTGCCAGTATATCGGGGAATTTCTTTGACCTAAAGTGGATAAAACAGAAGGTGAAACTCATTATATTCGGGAAATGACAAACTTCTAATAAAAACTGAGGAAATGACAAACTTCTAATAAAAAATAGAGTTAATAATTCTCAAAAATCATGCATTAATTTTTACAATTGATAACAACATCAGGACTGAAATTAATATTTTTGAATTCTGAGGGGCCGGAATTTCCTATATCCAAATGCTTTAGGCCAACTGAAATGTGTTCTATATATTCTCCACTCTCTTTTGGCCCCAGTAAAGTTTTATGCACTCGATTAGGATGAAAGTGGGAATGAATTATTGCCTTCTTTTCATAATATTCTACTATTTAATAAAAAGGGTTTTAATTTGATGCATCCAACTATTATATGCACTGGGGGTTCACTCATCATAATGAAGAAATACCCTTTTGTAACTTTTTTTTTCGTTTTTAATTAAATTTACTTCATACCGTGGAGGTTTAGGAAAAAAAAAACAAGAGGAGGGCACGAACCAAGTACTTGCTTGGTACTTTATGCATCTTTAAGCTTTTTACCTCATAATTCTTTCAATGGCACTGATAATCATGAAACTGATAAACACCACTTTAGTAGATAAAAAATAATTCAGCGGTAAATTTTTCTCAAGTATTATATTTTTCAGACTTTTAAACCAAAATTGTTGGAAAAATTAGAATTTTGGTGTAATTTATGTTAGAATGTTTCGGTATTTAAGAAGATGTAGTTGCCTTGTCAATTTATAATTTTTTTCTTCTTCTTGTTTTGATCAATGGAATAAGACTAATGGTTTGAGTTTTTCTTCTTCTTGTTTTGATCAATGTAACATGACATTCGGTTTGAGTTTTTCTTCTTCCTTGTTTTTGAGTTCTTTTTTTTTTTTTTTTTTTTCAAATACTTCTTCCAGTTAAGTGAATGACTGAATATGAACAGACCAAAATGGTCATGGACTCAGCACTCACTTTTTTATGTACCCCATCCGTTTTGACAAGGATGGATATATAGAGTACAGATCATCTTCGGATCTAAAAAAACTAAGCTTAAGGATTAAATGATCCGGACCGTTGAAATTTGATCAAACGGCTACAATTATTACAACTTTTAGAGGGGCCTCCTATTTGTAACCGTTGAATCAAATTTCAATGATCCGAATCATTTAATCCTTAGGCTCAATTTTTTTAGATCCAGAAATAATATGTACTTGGATATATACATTAACTGTGAAGGATGTAAGCAGACAGCTAAAAAACTCCTTGGAAAGATCCAAGGTTCTATATATCTTGAACATGCCCTTGCTTTTTTGTTTTTTTTTTTTTTTTTCGTCAAATGATATATCTTGTTAGATTAGATGTTAGATTAGTCACGGATGGGGTTAGGGCCACTTACCCCTTATTTTTGTTTTTTGATATAGATTTTAGTTTTTACTGGTATTTGTGGTTTTCCTTGTTTGTATGACTGTTGCAAACTAGCAGTTTTCTTGGTTGGTTTCTAACACTTCGTTTGGGTGGCATTTGGGATTCTAATGTGTATAATGGTTTTCCAACTAACCCTAGCCCCCATATTAGATCTCAGCTGACTTTATAATGTGTAAAAGAATATTTTTTTTTTTTATTTCTTTCATAAACGATAAGATAATTTATATTAATTTATTTAAATTAAGAGAATGAGGAATGTTTGAACCTAAAACACAATGTCTTGAAGAGAAGTCCTATCCACCAAGGCAACCTACCATCATACTACTATATTGGGGATTGGGAAACAATCAAATATTAGATCTCAGATGCAAAGTAAAATACTCTTAACAATTGAGACTAGTCCCTTGTGTTTAGAAAAAGGCTATTTTTGTTAGTAACTACGTGAGGGAAAACGCACATAGGAAGCCTTTAGTCAGCCCCAGCAGTGATGGAGTACGGTATGTGCAAATTTGTTAGAATCTTTAACTTCTTGGTTTGTGGCAATGTGATATTCTGAATAAATTTAAGTTATGAGGAGTAGGATTCAAACTTCAATGCAAAGAAACGGTCACGCTGCCTTAGCCAATTTGTCTTACTCACATATGGCGCATAAACATTTTATCAGATTCTTTTTGAGTTATTAACATTACTTGTGTACTTATCAGAATGCCCTTCTCACTTTTTGAATTTTGAGGTGAATTTAGGTGTTTAGAGTGTAAACATAGAGGCAGAAGAAGAGAAGATCGCAGTTATAGGAAATGTAGAGTTTTCTACTTCAATTACGAAGTTGGTGAGAGCTGGCAAACATCCAGAGCTTCGGCCTCTGTTAAAGTTTGAGAGAGACGGGCTACGGTCCACCACTAATAACATTAATATTGTCTCCATTTAATTATTTGTTCAATCAATTGGTGTGAAGTTTTTATGCAAATGATCTCAATACAATTAAAAGTGGAATCATTTCATAAAAAAATTGTGATTTATTTTGTAAGAAGACCGATATGGGACCTTTTGCTTTATTCAACATTGCCCCCTCACGTCGGACTGCTTTTGAGTTGGCCAGACGTGGAGCTACATTGATCATGTTTGTAAGTGAACCCAATAATTTAGGCCCATATCTAAAAACCCACTCTGGTACCATGAAGAAAGTTGGAATTCTAATATCAGAGTAGGTTGTCCCTCATGTGAAGCCCAACGGCCACAATTGAGGGGCCGTGTGGACTGTGGAGAGTATCATCCTTTATCGGGGAGAGAGAGATTTTGTATGTGCTTATAAGTAGTTGAATTATTTCTCATATTACTAATTAATTTTATTGAGGAACCCCAACTTTCTTTAGTCTCCAAGTTCCAACCAACAATTGATTCACACCAACGGAGATCCCAGAAGAACAAGCACCACCACCACCAACCAAATATGATTGGCAGTGAAAGGACAAAATTTTGAATTCGATCACATTTGTGTGGACAGAAATGGAAATGGAAATGCAATTGGAGCTGATGGCAATGTTTTTTCTATGATGGGCAATAATGCAAGTTTTCATGGCAATGGGGGACTTGGATTTGCAGGATTTCCCAACTCACACTCACACCACTAATTAAGTAATTAATCATCTGATCCTCCTTTCTATGATGTTCAATCGGCACCACCCAGCTCCTGTGTGTACTTTTATGGCACATATACGGAAGGGTAATTGGGATAAAAAAAAAAAAGTGGAATCAAATTCTAATTACGAAATACTCTGGTGTTTATTCAATATTGAGGAATCAAAAATGTGGTGTGACTCACACAAATTTTGGGATCCAACTCTAGAATTTAGAGAAATTGGATTTCTAACAATTTGATGGGAATTGAATTCCGGATTATTGAGGGAATCAGAATGAATTTTTCCTCCCCATTATACCCTCACTTATTTCTAAAATTCCAAGACTGCCTTTCACATTAACCCGACACCAAATTTTATTCTCTTAACAAAAAAAATCAAGTATTCAAACTAAAAAGAATTAAATTTTTTTTTAATAAAATAAAGTTTTACAAAAAAAAATAATAATAATAACAATTAGCATATGAAATAAATCACTAGAATAGGGGCATTTTAATAATCACATTAATTTTAATTTCAATTCATATGAATTAGTAAACAGTTTATATGATCTGGTACACCAACTTTTGATAATTTTAGTAAATTATTCAACGAGAATTTGATTCTGATTCCTGCCATTTCAGCTCCAGCTCAATTCAATTTCTCCTCAATCCAATTTCTCCAAATTTGATTATAGTTACGTGAACGAGCCCTTAGCTACTTAACTAAATTGACATTATAGGACTTCCTCACACAATGATACCGGAACCACACGTAGATTTCCGTCCCACTTCATCGTGAGAGGAAGTTCGATGCGAACCTTAGAAGTCCTGCATAACCATTTTGTTGTTGCAGAGAAGATTTCAACCCCAACACTCAAGCCGGAAGGTTACGACGAATTAAGAATCAGAGAGAAGAGGAGGGATGGGGGCTGCTGATTCTCAATTCCAGGGAGAATAGCACTGATAGAGTAATGTTTGTTGAGCAAAACAAATCAACAGAGAAATGGATCAAACATCTACACAATTTAATCTACAGCTCTGTAATCTGTTAAAAGTTACAAGTGTGACTACTTGATACGATGATCAACTTGTTCATCTAAAATTTGGACAAACATAACTTACTGTACAAGAAACAAAGCTCAAGATTTGTGCTACATGGTACAAATTGCATCGCCGTCATTTCCCAGTTGCATCTGTAACCTATATCCTAATCTGCATATGTATTTCATCAGTTTCGTGCTGGATTATATCGTATATACAGATCAACGTGTCACCGATCAAACTTCACAACGATGCTCTGCAGAGGGTTTCCAGGAAGCAGGAGAATTGCAAGCTCCAATTTAACTGTAGTTTATAGGCAGATCAACTCCTAGTCACACCTGTCGCGGATTCTCAACACATACCTTATATGGCTGGCGAACGGCATTTCCCTGCTGTTTAGTCACTTTCGAGATCGCTATTTACAAAATGACTTTCCAGGAAACCTAGCTTGGACATAATGACAGCTGAGGTAACATTATTTGTCACGTCCTTTACTACAATTTTCACCAACGAATAACTCAATCAAGGACATGCACACTGAGCTCACTAGAATTCTGTATACACACATCTAGGTTCAGTTGCCCGGCTGCAGTGAGAAAACGAAATGGAACCAGAAGAAAGTCCATTGAGCGAAATCCTTCCACCCCACCCGGAAAGTTTTCTGCCACTGATTTTAATCTGAGAGAACTGCTTCCATGTATTGATACAAGGTCATACGCAAACCTTCCCCTTGAAGAAATTGGTCTGATTGAAGTTATCGTGATTGTGTTTCCAATACTTTCTGTACCCTTGTTGAGTAGAAAGAGAGCGCCATCCTCCTCTGCTTGAAGAACAAGAAATTGTTCGTTTATCCCCAATGAGACAGCTAAAGGGGTGTTGTACCTGAAACGCCTTCCAGAATCCCAATGCTTACTGCTGAAATGCAGTGACAACTGTTCAAATGAGCTTACAAAGTTGCAGTCTGGAAGTGGGCATGGACATGGTGCATAGATGCATGTTTCTTCATGGTCAATATTCTTCATGTAATCCATTATTTCCTCACACCCATACTCTCTGTTCCGACACGGTGTTCTGACTGATTCAACTACTAGTTCAATGTCACCACACACTATGTCCTTATTCCCAACAAAGACTAGCATATTTTCCTGTATAAACATATTAACGAAGATTATTTACAACAAGATGATGCGGGACAAACAGTTAAAGATTCAAAATTGGTAACATAACTTTTACTGACGTATCGATTTACTTGTGTAACCATGACATCCTAGTAAACAGAAGTCTCATTATATTTTTTTTTCTGTCTTTTCTTCTCTCTTTAAAGCACATTAGGTTAGGACCCAAAATTTATCGCTTCGATTACCAAACATTGCAAATATCACAACGGTTTCCTGTTACACTTACACTAACCTTAGGAAGAGAACTCTATCAAGGGATTCACCTTTATAGGAAATGACAGAGCAAGACAATGGACAGAAAATAAATTTAAATCTTCTATTTCTATTGTTGTTTCCTTTTTCGATTCTTTTCCTCAAACTTTTCATGGCAGGATGATCTGTTATTCGTTACTTTTCTCAGAGTCAGGGTTATCTGCTAGTTCACTACTACGTACTTGAAATACATAAAGGGAAAATACTACAAAAGCTTAAAAATGACAAACAAACAAAATCATCATATCCAAGAGAAGACATGGAATATGCAAGGAACAAGTGAAAAAGCAGTGAATTTATTACCTCCTCTGAAGTAATTTCACCAATCTGCTCTTCAACTTACAGAGTACATAAGCACATTGTAAATATTTATGTCATTTTCTTTCCCTACGTTAATAAGAGAATATTAATTGAGCGCAGTGGCGTTCTAACGGAAGACTTGGCGCAAAAACCAGCCCAATGCCATTCTAGGATGCATACAACCGACCCTGCTTAGTGGGGGATAAGGCTTTGTTGTTGTTGTTGTACAGTTAATAAGTGAATTACCAGATGGTGCAACAACAAAATGAAAATGAGAAACCTCATTAAGAGGCAGTCCCAAAAACAAGTATGAGTTTTTGCGGGTTCATAATCTGTCGAGGGAAGAAATGTTGGTAAACAATTACAACAGAAGAAAGAGTTTTTTTTTTTTTTTTGGTAAGTACATGAATTCATTAAGAGACTCGGGGACAAGGCAAACCCAGGAAGCAAGAACAAAAGAACAACAAAGGGATAGCAAAAAAAAAAACCCTACCTGCCAGAGCAGCTAATGCAAAAAATCCGAAAGACAGACACGAGAAAGGAGAAACCGATCACCACAGCTAACCAACCAACCAAACCAAGGAAAAGAAAGCCCAACAAGGAGAGCATCATGCCCAACCCCATTGTTGGACAACAAGCAAAATCCATCCATCATTACCTTGTTCTCCTTATGCTCAAGAAGAGTATCATCCTCAACCCCATTAATTGTACTGCATGCTGGTGGTGGCCTATCCAATTGGCCCATAAACTCGCAAGAATCCAGATCAAGACACCTCTCCTTACACACCACCTGCAAAGGAGCAACAAGCATTGAGAACCCAATATATGGCTTTGTATCAAACTTTCCAAATGTAAATGTACCTCCCCACATCCATAGCCACCAAGCTCTCTTTCCCGCTTCTCCCTTTCAGTAATCTCGTCCTCACCCCATGAAGATAAGGATGGAACAAGGGCAGGGGCCAATGCACCATTCTCCTCAACAGAGATGCTTTCATAATAAAAGAGCTGAGAAAACATAAGATTTCAGAAAATACTGTTTGGTTTGTACCAATAACTAAGATATAACTAAGATGAATTTAATTTTAGGATTATTTTACCTGGAGAAACAAAAGACAGCCACCCACTGCACGTTGCTTCCCTTGATGAAAACGAGATACCTCGCAAACTAGCCGGTCAAGTAAGAATTTTCCCCAATTGTACTGATGGACAACATCCATATTTGTCAAAAAGTGAAGGAATGAAGGGCTAACATCCAGCCTTGCTGTTGGGGACAAAAGCGTGCCCAGTGCATAGAGGACAAACGATCTCTTAAATTCCTCTCCTGCTTCAGGCTCTGCCAACCTCTCCTCTAGGAGTCTGACTGAAATACCATGATTTGTAGCATCATAACTGTGCCGCAAATCCGCAATCAAGTCATCAGACCCTGAGTTTACCACATCCTTCCCACTAGCTGCTAATCCCATCACAAGCTCCACATCTTTAGGTGTTATAGGAATACGCTCACCACAAATCTCCAAGCTACGTCGTGTAGTGTTAAACCTCTCCAGGAGCCAAAGACACAAGCTGCGGCGGAGAGTTCGGCATCTGAGGTCAAGAAGGCTCCCAAATCCCATGCTTTTCACTGCAGCCTTCTGTTCATTTGTAAGACGTTGTATCACATTGAATAAGCGGCCAGGAGAACATCTTGTGACTAGTTTAGCCTGCATTGTCAAAGCTAAAGATTCAGCCAGTCCAATGAACAAATAAACAACTGTCACAAGAAAACAAAAGATACCTGTTTTCTTGGCTTAGGGGTGCGGGTTGGAGCTGTACTCAAGTAGTTATCCCACACTTCACGAGCACGCCTTGTGTATTTTTCTTTCTCATCAAGGCTCATAGACTTCCATGCATCTGAAGCTGCCTTCGTGGCCTGAAATAAAAGGTCATGATTTTTAAATATATTTTAATTGCACTATCAAAGTAGATTAGGCGCTGCCAAACATTTGGAGAGTAAAGAGAACGAGACTCACAGCTTTAAGGCCAGAGGATTCAGGATGGGAAGCGCTGTATTCCTTGATGAAATCCCGACTATAAAAGTTGGTTTCGACATTTGCAATGAATATGTGGAGAAGAAGACATACGGTAATACGAAAGGAATTTAAGTTACAGAAACTGATTGTTACCTAAAATACACCCATGAGCATGCAGGACGAGGAGTGGTAACTTGCTTCTTCTTCTTCCTTTTGATCTTCCCTTGTAACATAACATTTTCTTCAGCACTTACCATCCTAACATCTCCTTCATTTGGCACCTGGGGGTTTGGATTTAGAAAAGAAGCATAAAATAAAATAAAACAAGCAAGCAAGCAATTTGAGCTAGTGAAGATCTTCTATATAGGAAAACCAATACAATAAGAACAAAAGAAAATGGTACAGCAGTAAATGTGTTTCTTTTATAGGCAAACCAATACACAGAAAATTTAGACTGAATACTAAGTTGCTTTCTTTTGTTGACAAAACAGTAGTTGCCACTTTTTTTTTTCAGTTGGACCATATGAAGCACTGATTCGTCACCAGGGTGACAAATCACGTCTGGGTACGGCGACATTTCCGATTCTCCACCGATTTGCGTCGACTCACGAATCATGAAACAGCTACTTCCAATACGCAGCGGGTTTGACCTGCTCTGCCTTCATTCTTGCCCTTGTCCTTCTTAGGAGCTCTGAAAGTCAAATTGTATTGTAGCGCCGTCCCTGTACCCGTATCCATGCTTCATAGCTTGGACCACTTAAGTTTAATGTATTCATTTAGTTTAGGTCACAAACATTAAGATTAAGTCACAACTTTCATTCTAGATTTACGTTTTTGTCCATGCCTTTGTTAAAAAAATGTCCTGAATTTGCTACTACTATTAACCCTAAATATAAAAATGTGAGTATTTAAATTGAAAAAAAATGTTACATTTTGTAGGTAATCTCAGTTATCCCATATAACGGGTCACCTTCCACAAAGTTTTGGATGCACCTTATAAAACTACATGCATGTATGTCTCTCTGTGTCTAAGTTTGTGAGTATCTGAGTTATTAGTTCTACTTCCAGAAGGTTTCAGTTCAGAAGGTTTCATGCATGGTAGGTAGTTGGCCAGAGACATCATAAATTATGTGAAATAGGCTGCTTTTACAAGTATTGTGCTGGGTCTTGAATATGCACCATAAAAAATTGTTCCTACGTCATTTATGCATTCCTCTGCTCCACCCCCACAACATGTTCCATAAGCAGCAGCTCTACCAATCATTTCATAATTACGAATAAGCAAGACACGAAGCAACGACCAATTGATTCCCAAGAACCACCACTACACTGCATTGCAGCCCAGCCAGACCCTAGGGCTATCCAAACGATAAGTTTGTTCGAAAATCTATCAACCCATTCTTTGCTGAATGGAATATGTCTTTGTTATAAAGCACAATGATTCACCAAACAACAAGTAGCCATTGTGCTTCAACAGACAGCAGTTCAACGCTAACTAAACAGCAAACTATAAGTAGCCATAATGCTCTTCAGTAATAAGTCCGAGGCTCTAGAAACAGTTCGATCAGCGAAAACTAAACAGCAACCTCAGCCACCGAGAATTAAACTCTTAAAGGAAATAAACAAGATTCCTTAAGTATTTAACATTATAAAGATCAAACCTTTTTTCTCCTTTCTAGGCACCTTATGGTTTTCAAAGTTACGCATTGCGATATTGTTTTCCCTTTGTTTCTATAACGTAATCACAACCCTTAGATTTCTTTCAAAAATTCAAAATTGAAACTTTACAGAATATAGGATGCTTCAATTCAGAAATCAGTAGTACAGCAAGAGGTACATAAACCAGATCAATCTAAATTATCTTTCGGCCTAATCTAACTATATCAAACAATTGAATTCACATATCAATCAAACTATCCAAACACACTCACAGTGCGTGCCCAAAAGCAAAAGGTTAACAGAAGTGCTTTTCTGGATCTCATTCCGTTGCAAAAACTGGAATTATACATCTACCATTGTACATTCATCAATAAGTAACGAACCCAAAATCATCACACACACAATCAATACGTAACAAAATTGTGCGGAGTTTGAGAAGCCGTACTATTTTCGGAGATTTGCAGCCTGCGGTTGAGGTCAAGAGGGCGAACTGGAAGGGAGAATTCAAAAAAGCTAGGGTTTCGAGAAAGCGACGAGAGATTGCTGAATGCCAGTGGGAGTCGAACGAGAAAGAAACTAACTGGATTTTCGCTATGGTGTTTCGTTTTCCTTTCACATTTAGCAGGTGAGTAACCAGTCTTTTTTTTGTTCTTTTTTTTTTCTTTTAACAGAATGATATTTTCTTTTTAGATTTTGTCTTTAAAATAAAAATTCGTTAATTTAGATCCTTGAATCGAATAAAAAGGTAGAAGATTGGTTCTTCCAGTTAACTTCCGTATTATTTTTTTGAGAAAAAATAGGTATTCATCGATTCGATAATGATATAAGCGTACAATGAAAGTTTAAGGTGCATTAAGAGATTTCTATAAAAAACCTTATCATGGACTTTAATCCGGTTAAAAGGAAAAATAGCATCTCACACCAAGAAAATTACAAAGTTATGCTATCCTCAAACGTAAGATCAGTGATTACATCAAGAAGTTCTTCGAACCACACCATTTGTTCATCTAAGAATAAACCCAATATAATCAACCTGTGTGCAACCTTGTTAACCTCCCTTTTAGTAAAAATCAGCCTTGTGTGGGGAATCGAACACAAGAAGTGTCGAGCATCATTCACCAAATATCCCAAAGGACACGTATCATCCTCTGTATTCCGTTGTAGCGCCGTAAGAACCAACTATGCATCTCCTTCGAACTCCACTGATGCGGCATGCACTCTCCCATTTCAACTCTGAACACCATGCCCACTCCTCCTGTTTCGCCATTTTCCTCCAACGCCCCATCGAAATTGCATTTCAACCACCCAACTCAGGCTTCTTCCACCTCTTCGCAGTAACTTGCTTTATTGCCATTTTCTTTCCGTGCCATTTTTTGTATTTATGCGGCCAAGCTTGAATGCTACAATGGATATCCATTGGCTGCTGTGAGACTCTACTCCAATAAAAGGAGTTGCGTTCCTACCAAATACTCCAAATGAGCATCAAAACCATATCAAAGCTCTCCCTTGCCATTGCGTGAGTCCGAAAAGAGGGAAGGATCTTCTTCAGTGGATCCCTCTTGTTCATGTCTTGTCTAGTCCCCTTCGTTTAAGAAGTTGCTTCTATTTTTACATCTGTTTCTTCCTCACTTTCCCCCATTTCTTCCATTTCTAAGGTTTATAAGGTTTCTTTCGGCTTCTTGGTAATAATGGGTGACGGTATTCTGCCTAAATAGTAGACACATGTAATAAATAAGAGAATACTAAAGATTCGAGCCATAGAACTTCTTAATTCTGACACAAGGTACTTATTAGATCTAATAAGTACATTAGATCTAATAGAATCATTTAGCTGTATCCAGCCTAATACCAACGCGACCCATTTCATGAATAAAATGTGACAAATTAACAAGCCAATCCCGCCAACCTACCTGACGTGCTTCATTCACACAAAGACCCAATGGGCTCGAAAGCCAAATTCTAGCCATCCGCGGGCAATCTCGTAGTTTGTGCTCTGTAGTTTCCACCACACCTTCACAAAACATACACGAGGCCTCCGTGATGATTCTCCGTTTTAACAGATTCGCCCTTGTTGGTAATGCATCCATACAACTCCGCCACACACAAATTTTAACTTTTCCTGGTACACAAGCCCTCCATGAAGCTTTCCACAAGAATTTTGTTTCAGGTCCCAAAGAAGACCCACTCGGTTCATTTCCTGTTACCTCCTCAAAAGTACGTACCAAATGATAAGCACTTCGTGTAGAGAACTTCCGTACTATTTTAAAAACAAAAAAAAGTTTTATGTATGAAATTTCGTTAGTTTGATGATACGGCCACATGTGGGTTTCACATGTCCAATTATATGAGCCATGTGAGATCCACATGTGACATCATCTAACTAACAAATTTGTTTTACATAACCACAAAGATCAATTGTAAACGTTTTGTTATATTCAATGATCTAAATTAACAAATTTTTAGGATCCAATCATATCAACTCACATGCATTGGATCCCATCAGAACTCCAAAATTAAGCAAGTTTAGGCGAATAATACTAGAATAAGTGACCCCCTAAAAGTTCTCGTGTTGCATCCCCACCCCTTTTGTTCAAAAAAAAAAAAAATCAACAAAATTTTTAATTCAAAGATGAATATTGCCATTTTTTTTTTTGTTAAACGATAGATTTTGTTAGATTAGCCACCGACATGGTTTGAACCCACGCCGTCATGTAAGGGTTCAACACCTTTCCACCACTATGGTAAAAGGCCACTTGCGTATATTGCCACTGAGAGAGAACAATCTGCAAGCACATAGACCTTTATGTGCTGATCGGCTGCATGTGTTTTTAAGTGAAAATCATATTTTTCATGTTTTTTTATTTTTTTATTTGGCTTTGATTCGAAATCAACTACGGCCACTTAGTATTATTGTCTAATGGTTTTCTTTTTCACTTGTAAGTAAGAAATCTTAGATTCGATTCTTGCCAAAGGCAATTTTCAACCAAATTATTGCTAACTCATTATGAGGCTAAGTCATCCATCTCCCTTAGCGTAGACTATTGTTTGTTCAAAAAAAAAAATTTTTAAATCAATTATGAAAATATACCTTGTGATTATTGTAATTGGTTGATTTTTGAAAATCATTACATTTCATATTATTTATAATCGTGTTAGTATCTTAAAAAGCTCAACAAGAAAGTAATTGATGGCCATGTTAATTATTGTGCCACTTCCACTCGAAAGTTGAAGAGAGATCGAGTAACAAAGCATAAAGGCATAACTGTCTACTTGTATATGTGTCTAGTTGATGAGTTTTGTAAGCCTTCCTATACTCATTTCTCTTAGTGTTTGTCCTAGTTGAAAGCTCGAGGACTTTTCGAGCGGTTAGTTTTGCCTCACTAAATCCTACATCCGGTGTGCACATTTTATTTGTTTATTTACCTGCAAGTGTAAGATATTTTTGTATGTTATATGAGTGAAAATAAATTTGAAAATTGGAGAATGTTTTTAAAGTTAGAACCTATTCACCCCTTTAGGTTAAACTAGTACTCATCCCAAGACTTTCGGATTCCCTTCCTATTCCATTAATAAAGAATAAGAAATTGAAAGCACATAGTTCAATATCTTAATAGATAGCGTGTCAGATTTTTACTGATGCATCTCAAGTTCGAAATTTGATAATGGTTACACAACACTGAAATCTAAGTGGTAATCAATGGAGCACATTACCAAATTAAATTTAAGGACCAAGAGGCTTTTATCCACCTGCATTTAAGGAATTTCAACCCATTCAAGTTTTTCTTTATTCGTTTCTGTTGTTCTTTTCTGTTGTCGTATTACGATTTAATAATATGTTTCTGTTGTCGTATTACGATTTAGTAATATGTTTCTGTTGTCATATTATGATTTAATAGTATTTTTCCACTTTCAGGTAAAAAATCATAAATTCGAATCTAGTAAATAACGCATTTGAAACTAATTTATTCCCTAGCCTTCTAATGTAAATATATCATCATATATCATTAGATGAGAATAAAAAGAATTTTTTTACCCAAAAAATAAATAAACATAACCAATTCTCAACCATATTTATCTTCAATCTTAATACAAACAATGGTGCTTTGTTTCTGTTCCCCGGATTTCAGTTCTTTTTAACATGGGACATGGTTTTCAGGCATACTGCTGCTGGTCCTAATCACAGATTCACAGAAACGAAAAATAATACAGAAAAGAACCAACTCAGCTACCTACGTTCATCACGTTTATTGCATACATGTACATCAAGAGGCATAACCGGTGGGTGTGGGTGTGACCACGGGTGCAGTCAGTAACAAGAAATGAAGTCCATAAGAAGAAAAAGCCATCTTCAGTAACATTTAGAAACATTAAAAACAGCGGATCCAACGGTTCAGAGTGATATCGGTATTTTGAGGATACGCCTTAACGACCAATGGTTAAGCAAAACCATGCTGTTCATTTTATACTACAAGCTTTGGTATGGGACAGAGCGGGCAATAGTAAGTTTGGGGGAGGCTTACCTTTATGCCATATCCGGAGTTCCATCTTGAGGCTGCCGCCATTTTCGAAAAAACCACATGGGATTATCAAGTGATCTGTCGAAGAAGGGTTGCTAACCTGGCCAGGAATGCTCTTTGCGAACGACTGAAGTCTGAGACTACTTCCCTTTCCATTCTTGGTTCGAGCAAGAAGATCATAGTAGAAGCCTCCCATGAAGCTGGGTTGAATACAACTAATCGACACTATATTTCCAAGACTTTCTTCCTTGTTGTCAAGGATAAATAATGTGCCATCATTCTGTTCTTGAAGAGTATGGGATTTGTCCTTGTGAAATAACGTGATGGAAAAAACACAGTTGTACCTGAAGCACGTTGCAGAGTTCACATGATTACTGCTGAAGTGTTGGTACAACTGCTTGCTTGGAGAGACAAAGTTGCATCCTGACTGGGGGCATGAACAAGGTGAAAATATACATGCCTTTTCATGTTCATTTTTCTTGTTGTAAGTCATCGACTCTTTGCAGCCATGCTTGATGTTTTGACATGAAACTCTAATTGCTTCCAGAACGTTCTCAATGGCTCGGCAACGATTATAACCAATGGGCCAGGAGCAGGTGGGACATTTATTTTTACTCTTGGTGCAGCAAGAGGAGCAAGCTATATGCCCATTTTCACACTGAATTCCAGAAAAGCATTTAAAAGTTAGAGGTTTGATTAATGAACTTAAAAAGCCCCGTTTGGTATACAGGATTGTATTGGAATGGGTAAGGTACGATTTTCAACGTTTGTTGAAGGAAGAAATGGAAAGTCCAACTTGGAGGTAGAAGATGGATTGCTCAGTAGAAAACTTATCCATTCCAATCCCCTCCAAAACGGTAGGATTAGAAGAGAGAAGCTTCTTGCATGTCTAATCCCCTCAAAGTGAAAATTCATTCTCCTCTACCTTCAATATGCCTTGAATTTAGAGGATTCACAATTCCAATCCAATACTAATGACCAAACGAGGTCTAAGGCATGAATTATGTGCCTGGAAGGGATATCAAGAGCGAAATAGATACAAATAAACTAAGCCTATTTGGTTCAATTTTACATAAGCAAAGTAGCACTGTCACCCTATAATACTTATATTATTCAGTTCATGTACTCATATATATCTTGCACTGGCAAATAGAGAGAGAGAGAGAGAGAGAGAGAGAGAGAGAGAGAGAGGAAGAAGAAGAAGAATATTTAAGACAGAAAACCAGAACGAAGAGCCCAAAGAACAACGAACTAGCAATCTCTATAAAATTAAGACAGTCACCGAAAACTAAAAATAACAGGCTACCACAACAAGAATCTAGGACACAACTTTCCAATCGGACAGTACAACAGAAAAGGATAGTCTATAAGTTCTGGAGAACCTAAGCACATAAAGCTGCCCAAATTCAGACTCTTACCCACAAATTATCCACCTCCTCCCCTGCTAAACATGCTCAAAATATCATATATATACATGTCTTTCAACCTAAAGTACAACACACTTCCCTTGTAAAAAAAAAGAGATACGTCTCACACTAAAAGCAGCTGATGAACGTGGAATCATTCAACTAAAATCAGCCTCCCCGAACATCCTAGACTACAAAGACAATGAAACAGGACAAGGATGAAGCAAATGGTCCAAATCCGGACCCACTTTTACGCATAGCACACCAATACTTAGAGCTTGCTTAAGTACATGTGTTATAGCAACATTTGCTCTCAAATTCTTAAGATCTTCCTTCAGCTTTCTGTTTTTTTTTCCCTCTCCCTTCACCCTCACAGCCATGTCTAAACTCTCTGAACTTTTTTCATCCTCCACTATTAATCAGATCACACCTTCTATTTGGTTAGTTTTTGCTCACTGACTATATTCCAAATCATCCTACTCTTTCTTTTACGCTTAAGCTTCCCTGGTTTGGGGGTTTAATTGTCCCCACGGCATTTAAAACAATACAGGTTATTGAGGAAGTTACCATTATTCCTAATGCTTTTGCACTATTACAACACCTTTCTTCTTCTGTTGCAGAAAAGCTTTCCTGTGTTTTCATGAATTTTTAAGCTGCATATAGCATAGTTGAATGCATTTGGGTCGTGTCATGCCCATCGTTAACTCAGGTTCCATATCCAATGTGGACCCCAAAGTTACTGTACTTGTGTCCTAAAGTTATGAAAACATGTAACTAACAACAGACCACAATAAAAGATTAGGGTCCTTTGTTACTACCAAAAACTTCAGAGGTCAGAAATCCATTTGTATACAGCAACCCAAACAAAACAAGATCAAATAAAAACTAGCCATAGGAACAAAAGAAAAAAGAAGCACCAAATAAAATAGCTGTCTTCCAATCTAGCAACAAGGCAGGCAAACTCACACCCCTATAATCATTAGACACTGAGACCCAAGGAGGTGATAAAATTAACACCAACCAGATGCCCAAAGAGAGGAGTGCATCTAGATTCCATAATGCTGCTTTTATTTTTACATCAAAATAGAGCAGTTTTATTAATGATGAGAATTATTATTCAGGCTCCAAGCTTTCTACTAACCAACTTGGAGAAAGAAGATTACTCTTTGCCAAGTCAACGGATCTTTTATGTGCAAAGATGCTACGAGTGTCTTTTAACGCCAGATGAAGCTTTAAGCGAAGTTATTAGTCAAAACCTTGGAATTGCTCAACTTCTAACCAAAACCACCCAACTCTCAGACATGCTAAGCCTTAAACCAAGGGGAACCTCTACAACGTTTGGCATGGTGGTGTGGTTCAAGCCAAGGAGGAGTCTTTGTCTGTAAGGAGACCAGTTAGACTAATGAGGAGTCCCTTTGGCTGCAGATAATAATCTTGGAGGAGTTTTAGAGAGGGTGCTGTTTTAGACCAAGTATTGTCCTTTTACTAGGCAAACGTACATATTGACTGATAGACAACAAACAAGTACAAAAACATGTTGCTTCAAAAAGGTACGTGATAAATTTATCGAAAAACACCTTGAAAATTACTACAACTTTATTGCATCACTAATCACCACTAATCATCATGGGAGGTCCCATAATCAATTCATAATAAACCACGAATTTGGATGCAGTTAGTTGTCTTGAGACTAAGCTATTTGGATCTTTCCTTGGGGGGTAATCTTTGTCCCTTATCATATTGGGATCTGTGTTAGCAAAAATTAGGCTCTCATTACAAAAACCAAAGGAGAATGGTCGGGCATAAAACTTGGGAACCTAGGGAAGAGAAATACAGCTTTACTGGGAAAGTGGCTGACTTTCCATAAAGAGCAACACTCTTGTGCGCATCAGTCAATGACAGTAAATAAGGAGCTCATGCCAATGTCCTTTGAAGTACCTCTCTCAGGGGTATCCTTTTCTCTCTCTATTCTAAAGTTTGTGGTAGGTAGACTTTTATAAGCATTAACCCCCTAAACCATATTGCCGCAAGCACTTACCTAAGAACAATAATAAACTGCATCAATACAATGACGATCCTAAATCAAATTCAATCGGGATTGAATTAAAGGATGTTCTGAGTTTCAGCATATAAACAAGACATTTAAATTAGCCCCCAAACCATATCGCCGCAAGAGCTAACCTCAAAACAATGAAAAAACTACATCACTACATTCAAAATCCCCAATCGAATTCAACCGGAATTGAATTGTTGACGATTCTAAATCCTAGCAGACAAATCACGAGAATTTCCTAATCTGATACACGAATCAAAGCAAACAAACGAACGGCTCATATAAAATCAGAGACACTAGATTCTCAGTGCAGACCCAACGTTAGAAACGAAAAGGGCTACCAATTCAAATCTGGGAGAGAGCATACCTGGTAGACAGGGACCGTCAAGGGCTCACAGCAAATGAAACAATCAAGGACGTCTGAGTCGGTTAGGGTGAAGACAACAGAGGCATCGATGGCGGTGGCGGTGGCGGCGGCGGCGGAGGGTGAGATGGAAGAAGGAGCCACTTGGACTCCGGCGGCGGTGGCGGCGGATGCAAGGCTGCCCGAAGCAGAACCCACTTGACGGTCGTTGTCTCTTGCGAGGTACTGGGCAAGCGAACGAACGAGAAGCGGCCGCGGAATGCGTGGTGGTGGTTGGGGTAAGTTGGTAATTTCAGCTGCTTCTTCCTCTTCATCACTTTCGTCGCTGTCTCCGGTTTCGGCGTCTTCATTTCCAGGACTTTCTTCGTCGTCGTCTTCTTCTACATCGTTTTCGCTCTCACTATCATCTTCTTCTGCGGATGCTCGTTCATCTTCTTCCTCGACGGTCTGTAGCTGTTGTGGTGGTTCTGGTGGCGGCGGCGGCGGTCGTACGATTGTGATGGGGGTGCTGCGGGTGCTGGCGGAGGTGGATGCGTAAAATCGACGAGAATTCAGACCGTTCAGACGAGGCCTCTTGTGCCTGGGGCTGCGGGATCCCTCGCCTTCTCCATCCTCATCTCCGCCTAACGAGAATCTCGCCATTCCTCTCTCTCAGTCTCTCTCCCCCCAATAAAATAAGAGAAATTTAGAAATATGCCAATTTGAGCAGCATTTTATTAAAACTACCCTTTTTGCACGGTTCTTGAGTGCGAAAAATCTTTTTTACGTTACAGATTATATTAATTGAAACGTTGTACATCTTTAAAAAAAATTTAAATATACGACGTTTATTTGTAATCTTTCTTTAAGTCCCTCTAATTTTAACTTTAGCTTAATTCATAATGTTTAATTTCTTTGCAGATTTCTTCTTTTGTTAGACCTTTTATTTCTCGCGGGTGCTATGCATGCCTAATTTTTTTTTTTTTAATATACAACGTTTATTTGAAATCTTGCTCTAAGTCCCTCTATCTTTTACTTTAGATTAATTCATAATGTTTAATTTCTTTGCCGATTTCTTCTTTTGTTAGACCTTTTATTTCTCGTAGGTGCTATACACCCCTAAATTTTTTTTTAAATATACAACGTTTATTTGTAATCTTGCTCTAACTCATATTTTTTGTGACACACCCCGACCGAGATCAGGGCATGATGGCCGTCACGTGGAAGTGACATAACCATATGCACAGTATGAAAGCTAATAAAATAAATAATAAAAGTATGAATAAATAAAAACCAGCTATACACAGCGTAGAAACATACATGTGCAAGTGTGAAAACAAAGTTCAGAGCACGAAGACCTAATGCAGTCCGGGAGAAACAACACAACAAAAACACACCCAAAGGTGGTCCTACACTGGTGATAATCTGTCAGATATGCCGGGAAAATCCTCTGGGGAGCCACCACAAGTGCTAGCCAATTAGAACTTGGAGGGGCGCAAAACAGAAAGCGTGAGTGGGCAAAAACAAAGTTTTTCAAAAACCATTTTTTATAAACAAAGTTCTAATCCCTCGCCGTAAAACCTGTATACTTCCCAGAGAATATAATATGCATATAAATAAATCATGCTCGGAAGTATGCCATGTCAAATGCCTCTAAATAAAATGCAAATGCTCAAGAAATGTCAAATCAATGCCATGTAATCTGTCAGTCGGAGTCACCTAACGTGACTTGTACAGCTGAATCTAGAGCTGAGATCTCCATCTCACTAACTGTACCTGCACACGAGTCGGAACCACCTAAAGTGGTCTATACGACAGGACTGGGTGTAATATAAGTACGCTCAAGTGCTATGATCACGTGAAGGCTGGGCGAATAATCGCGGGTCACCTACGAGTCGGAACCACCTAAAGTGGTCTGTACGACAGGACTGTGCACCTAACTTGGATCCAAGATGAGTGTGTGGTGCGAGAGGTGAACATCACGTGAAGGACTGTGCCCAACTCTGGGCGGGAGCACTAACACCGGGGGTGCAGGTTATGAGCTCTCTATGCATCTCAAATCACTACTGAATATAAGTATAAACCATACTCACCTGGCACTTACCTGTGCGCCGCAGCACCAACATACAATTATATATATGCTACTAATAATGCATAAACAAACGGCAAACATAATGCATGACATATAAATGTATAAAAGTTTCCATTCACTTTCTGGGGAAAACGTAAGTATATAGGTATATACGGAAAACCAAAAGCTCACTCACTGGTATGTAGAAGGGTCGTAACCCCCTTGCCTCGAGTGACCGCGCTCGTCCTCGGGATAGGTCTTACCTATATGCGAAACAACTATAAAAACGTTAATTTTAAAGCACATAACCAAAACTTCTCATACACTGCTCAAATGGGGTGTATGAATACACCAACGTGATCTACTCAACCTCAGGAACATCCCCACATTTTTAGAAAAATTTTCCGACGCCGCACGCGCCCCCACGCGCAGGCACGTGCCTGGCACACTGACGGCATCACTTAACGCCGTCAGGAATATTCCATTAAATCTAACTGATGTCGTTAACGCCGTTAGCAATATTCTGTCCAAACTGACGAAATATTCTGTCATCTTCTCACGCCAAACTCCGGCGCCGTCGCCGAAGCCGGAAAACCGGGAAAACTTTAAAACCTTGTATCTTCTTTGTTTTTCAACCAAATTTCACAAAATTGGTACCAAAATGAAGCTTACAACAAGAGGAACAAATCCATACCACTTTCAAGCACTAAAACCCACGGAATCTCGTCGGGAAAGCACCACCAACTCCGGCCAAACTTGTAACTCATGATCCCGATGTCCAAAACCTTCAAACGAACCACCCCAAGCCTCCTAAGGACCTCACCAAGCTTCCTACAAGCTTGAAATTCCCAAAAACACAAGAATTAACGTGTGCATGAATAGTGACTAAATCGGGGTATCTTGAGTTCGACGTGAAAACGAAGGTATCCTTACCTGAAATGGGTATGGTTGAACTCCTAAAGACCTCATGAGCACAAATATGTAATTTGTTTCCTCGATCTATGAAGGTTTCAATGGTTTTTGGGTGTGTCCGTACATATGGGGATGGAAATGGGAGAGAGAGAGAAAGGGACAGGGATACGGGACAGGGAAAGGGGGGAGGGAGTGTGGGAGTGTGTGTGGGGTCCAAAACCAGCCAAACAAAACCCAAAACAACCACACAACGAAACAAACATACTAGGGGCAAAACCGTCATTTCACCCCTACGGTACGAAAAATCCGGGATGGGCTGTCACATTTTTGCTTTAGAATCCATAATGTGTAATTTCTTTACCGATTTCTTGTTTTGTTTTCTACTGGTAGCCTTCCTTCTCGTTCTTTTTCCTCCCATATTATATTGTACATGTAAAAGCAGAATTAAAATCACTGAAAAAATTGTAGAACTTTTCTGCCTATTAAAACTAAGAATGATACAAACCTAATCAAAGGGTGTAAAGAAAAGAAAAAATCACACCAATTGAATGCAAAAAATAAAATACATCAACCAAGGAAGATACAAACCTAATCAAAGTGTGCAAATCCCCAAGATGCTTTGGTGCATTCCATGTCCCCGCTACACTACGAACACCAGGGTGTAAGTATACTATAAGTATATGCGTACCTTTTTGCATAGCAAGAAGATGGTGATGAAGCACCCTAATTTTGCTATTTAGCATCTTGATGGCACTGAATTCCTGCAAGATGAGCAGCCACTGCACACAACCCAGGTTGTATTAGTTTGTATCACAAATATAAACCTTTCTTATAACTAGATGATCCCAAGCTTACTCAAACCATGTATGATATCTTCAATTGCCAAGATGGTACCAAAAACGCAATGGCTAAAATGATCGAAACTATCCTTCCCATTGAAAGTATAGACGTACGGTCTACTAGCAACCTAAAATCCCAAAAACACGTCAATAAAAAACTCAAACTTTGAAGGGATTTCATAAATGGACGTGGGAGTTTGAAAGCTGAACGGAACTGCTATGCAGTTTGAACAAACGTGATGGACATGGTGAGAAGAAAGAATGCTTTCGATTCTATATTATTCTTCTCATAAAGAGGTATTGATATACAACCCTAATTTAATCAAATAAGGAAAAATAATTACAGGAGATTACACAGGGAATATACCCAGATTACAAGAGATCCATCCTAAACTAGGAAACTCTAAATTATGGGAAACTATACAAGTCAACATTCCCCCTCAAGTTGGTGCATATATGTTACACATGCCCAACTTGTCTAGAAACTTAGAGAACTTTTCACTAGAAATTGCTTTGGTGAGGATGTCAGCAATTTGGTCTTCTGTTCTGATTGGAGGTACTTCAATTATTTTACCTTCTAGCTTTTCTTTAATAAAAAACATGTCAACCTCTACATGCTTGATTCTATCATGTTGTACCGGATTCTAAGCAATATCACGAGCAACCTTATTATCACAAAACAATTGCATCGGTTGACTATGCTTAACCCCCAAATCATGTAATAGTAGTTTAAGCCATAAGATCTCACAAATACGAAGAGCCATATTTCGGTATTCTGCTTCTGCACTTGACCTCGCCACTACTCCCTGCTTCTTGCTTCTCCAAGTAACCAGATTTCCCCCAACAAAGGCAAAGTAACTAGATGTTGAGCGCCTATCATCACTTGAACCAGCCCAATCAGCATCTGTATACCCCTCAACTCTGAAATGACCGTTCTTTCTGAATAAAATCCTTTTCCCAGGACTTCCTTTCAAATAGCTCAATATTCTCATAACTGCATCCATATGTTGTTCCCCTGGATTATGCATGTATTGACTAACGACACTCAAGGCATGAACAAGATCCGGTCTAGTATGTGCCAAATACATTAATCTTCCCACTAGTCGTTGATACCTTCCTTTGTCAACTGGCACTTGATTTAGATCAATACTCAGCTTTGTCCCTTCTACCAATGGAGTAGTTACGGGTTTGCATGCCGACATACCAGTTTCTTTTAACAGATCAAGAATATACTTACTGTGTGACAGAAACATTCCTAACTGACCTCTTGATACCTCAATCCCAAGAAAATATTTTAGAGACCCAAGATCCTTCATCTCGAATTTTGTAGATAAATACTTTTGCAAGGCCACACGTTCATCCGGATCATTACCGGTAACTACCATATCATCCACGTAGAGAATGAGTGTTGTAAGCTTTCCGTACCGACGTTTCAAGAACAGTGTGTGATCATAATTACTATGCTTATATCCAAACGCTCTTATAGACCTGGTTCCCAAACCACACTCTCGGGGACTGCTTCAACCCATACAATGATTTTCAAAGCCTGCATACCTTTTGTCTATGCATATCCGGAATGTTACTCCCTTGTGGGAGTTGCATGTATATCTCCTCAGTCAAATCTCCATGTAAGAAGGCATTTTTTACATCGAACTGTTGTAGCACCCAATCTAAATTTGCTGCCAAGGATAATAACACACGAATCGTATTGATTTTTGCCACTGGTGCGAAGGTGTCAGTGTAGTCAATCCCATACTTTTGTGTGTACCCCTTTGCCACCAACCTCGCCTTGAAACGATCCACTGTTCCATCTGCTTTGTATTTTATAGTATAGACCCATTTGCAACCCACATGCTTCTTGCCAACTGGCAAATCGGTTACTTCCCAGGTAGCA